GGGGAGAAGCACTCAGTACAGAGGCCCCTCCCCATTCAGAAACTATTGATAGTAAGTATGAATGGGAGGAGCCTCTGTACTGAGTGCTGCCCATTCATTGAGTGCTGAGTCTGCTAAAAAAGAAATTGATATTTTGGTGTCCTATGCCGGCCCTGTGTGTGTGTGTGTGTGTGTGTGTGTGTGTGTGTGTGTGTGTTAAAGCCAAGCTCCTGATGTTACATGTAGTATATTGCATGCTGCAAGGTAGGCATTTTATACTTTGCAGTGTTCCTCCAAACATAACACATCTTAACACACACATAACCACTTTGTGTCCAGAGCAATTTCTTAATTTTTGCACACGCATGATAAAATCAGAATTTTTGGATAAAAAGCAGCTTAAAAAAACCCACAGACAATTATATATTCACTGAAAGCCAAGGCCCTGTAGAATAAAAAATGTTAGTTGCAATTTTTTATGTTGCACAATATTTGGACAAATGTTTATTAAATCTATATTTTTAGGAGAAAATACACTAAAATTAATTTTAGTGTACACAAACAGAACATAATACCCAATTTAATGATATTTTACACACCCAGTGTGGTGTGTGCATCATTATTGTTTCCTGGAGTTTGGCTTTAATTCATGTGTAGGCACCCATGCAAGGACAGTATTACACTCAAAAAAAATTTCAGTAAGGAATCCACATCAAACAAATATACAATCAGCATAGTATTTCCTTACATGTTCGCCTGAGCACTTACAGTCATCATGTTTTCAAAACAGCTGGTTCCAACTCTCTCAGCTCGGCTTCCTTAAACTTCCTGTTGAGTACAAGATCACAAGGGACAGAGCAGTCTACATAAGTCTATCATGGAGAAGGAAGTAAGGCGGAAGAAGCAGAGAGTAGGAGAGAGATTTGCCTTTCTGTGACTCTGTGTTTGTGGAGACACACTCAGCTTACTAGCATACACAAGGTTAGTTCCATAGGACACAGCAATGGAAAAAAGCCACTCTAAAACAGGAAATCAGGACTAGTGCTCAGGGGACCAGCTGATTCTGCAGGAATCTGAAACTTTTAAACATCACGGAGCAGCATCCATTATAAGTGATTTAAGGTAATTGAAATAGCTTAAAATCCTATTGACTTTAATATCACTTTAAAGGAGAAATATGGGGAGAGTGAAATGTACTGATAGCCATAGATAAGAGCCACAGTGTGACACTGCAGCTGTCACATGTCAGCTCTATAGAATGAGAACTGAACTGATCTCTCAGATCTCAATCTTCTCCCTGCAGAGATTGATGACTGTCAGTCACCACTCCCTGCCGGGATTCCCTCTCCTCTTGATCCCCCAGCACTAACTGGAGGGACAGACAGGGAAGGGGGCGGGCACAGCGAGCTGCAGTCAATTAGGTAGCAGGGTGGATCCCGACAATATTGTCAGGATCCTTCCCGGCTGCAGCGTGGTTCTGCATTGTCAGCATATAGCGGGCCACAGTTTTGGGTCACAGGAGGACATTAGTAGATATCCTTCTGTCACCCAAAAGAGAACAAATGCCCCCCAAAAAATTGGAAATAGTTCTCTTCTAAAGCCATTCTGTTGCAACTTCAGTTTTCTACATTGAGAGATCCACATTCTAGTTCACCATCTCTATTAAAATTACTTCTCTTAACTCTATAATTTCTGAATTGCTGCATTCATTGGGGACAGAGATTACAGTTAATTATTCCAGTCAGGCTGCTACATAATGCTAGCAAAACATTTTTGAAGCAACATATGGTGCTTTTAAATTGTAAACTTATTTTTGCATTTTAAGCAGTGTAGAAAAAAAATGCTCATTTGCAAGGGAAAATATAATATAAATACACAGCACTTAGAACATGGTATGCAATTGGGATATAAATATTTTAAACAAAAACGATATTAAAGGAGAAGCATTGAGAGAGTAAAATGTACTCTTCCCAATACTGCGTGTGGTACAGCTGTCATATGCCAGTTCTATGGATCAAGAGCTGAATGATCATGAACTGTTGCGGTGTTCTCCCTGGAAAGAACCATTACAGTCACCACCACCCACAGGGATTACCCCTCAGTCCCGTCCCCCCCCCCCCCGGGGGTTCCCCCCCCCCCCCCCTTTATTTGTGCCCCCATTGGAGGGACAGCCGGGTCAGGGGGAGCACAGCTGACTCTGGCACTGGAGAGGCAGAGCCTGCTGTCAGACAGGCAGCGGGGTGGATCATAACAATAGTGCTGGGCTATTTCTTGGCTGCAGTGCAGCTCTGCGTTGTCAGCTAATAGCGGACAGTAGCTGCTAGATGCTGACTTTGGGTCACAGGAGTACATTAGTAAAGATAGTCCTTTGACCCAAAAGAGGACTTAAGCCCCCAAAAAAGTTTGGTTCTCTTTTAAAGCTAAAGTCTGGGCAGATATAAAATACACAAGCCAATGCAGCTCTGTAATACTTAATACATCATTAAGTAATTTTTTAAGTGCTAGCAGTATAAGTACCGGTATTCGGTCTGATATCAGCTTCTTGCAGTCCCTGTAAAGCAGGGCTGTAGTTTAGGGGGAAGAAGCAGTACAAGGAACCGATCAGTTCATGTGCTGACAAGAGACATCCTGATAAGAAGGGAAAGCAGAGAGATGAGCTCATCACTGTCCGGTCACATGCTGGATGCGAGTCCAGGACAACCTGGGCTCAGAGGAAGTGTGTGTAAAGATGCTGGCAATCAGATTGAGGACATCTAATGGCAGGGAACAACTACTGTGGGGAAAATCTCTAGATTGAAGTTGAATGATGTAGTAAAAGATGGTAGTATTATTTTATATTTTCATGGGCTATTTATTTTTATCTTGTTATTTTTGGCAGGATTTCCACTTTAAACTACTATTGATCTGTAATCATAGCTTCCAGATTAGAACTTGTTCAGTTGTTATTGTTGATGTTATGTTATATTTTAAGGCACTTTTGAGCAATATTCAACAAGATTCTGACAATTTGTCAGTGTATAACTTCCATTAGCATGCTACCTGTCTGTCGTTTATGCCTGCATGTGTTAACAGTTTAACCTATTTGTAATACCAAAGTACAAAGAGCAGTACAATTTGCACTTACTGTTTATTAAACTGTTGCACTAGTTGTAAAGGGTTATATTACTGCCTTGCTTTTTGACTGCAATACAAAATACTTATTTTTATTTGTAGTCTGAAAATCCATTGTGTAAACAGTCAGGATGTAGCATAAGGAACAAACCATCATTTTAATTCCCAAAAAATGTGTTACAGAAGAAAGTACACAAAGAGACAGACATTTTCTATGATCCTCACTCAGAGGGCAAAAGGAAGAGATGATAGAGGTGGTTCAAATCAACAGTAGTAGCAGAATTTTCATATCTTATCAAAGATGTAATGTAACAGATCTCTAAAACTATGGCTTCTGGACTTATGCCACCATAATATTCCAGCCAGGGTAGCCAGGTTTCAGGGAGGCCTTTCTAGAGTCTGTGTGTATTGCTAGAATTCTTTCAGAGATGATTACTGAATTAACTTTCTAAATAACCAGGTAATATGATAAAGCATTTGTTTAAAATGTTGAGACGCGTGTATGGACCAAGGTAGCCATTGTTACTTGTTTTACCAACTTTTGGAAATCTAATTTCTTTGGGTTTTTTTGCCTTACAGTAGAACCACAGGGTTTCTTGGGATTGTTTTAAATAGAACAGTGGAGGGAATTCTGGTAACTCTAGTTTAAAAAAAGAGACCACTGTACAGGACCATCAAACATGCAATTCAATGCCAGCTTTTGAACATCCTCTGTCACATGTTAAATAATTGGACGAATCTTGGCGGGAACTATATCCTATGCAGGATCTTAATAGAAGTTTCTGGTAATGAAGTAAATCAACAACCTAAGGTCTTGCACAATATTACCATTGGATGATTGACAAGTAATGTTAAGAGCTTGGTCCCGTTAAACCATATAGGGTAGTTTATTGAGCTTCACATGCTTATTTAACACACATAAAATTACACAATTTTGTAAAATGGTGTATAAGCAAATGATCTCAAGGGATGAGGGCTGTGGGTTCCTCATGACATATAAAAGTGGAATATACACTATATTACCAAAAGTATTGGGACACCCCTCCAAATCACTGTATTGAGGTGTTCCGTGAGATTTCCTTGCTAGTAAATATTCCACGGTCAACTCTCAGTGGTATTATAACAAAGTGGAAACAACTGGGAACAGAAACTCAGCCACGAAGTGGTCGGCCACGTCAAATGACATAGCGGGGTCAGCGCATGCTGAAGCGCACAGTGCACAGAAGTCGCCATCTGTCTGCAGAGTCAATAGCTACAGACCTCCAAACTTCGTGTGGCCTTCAGATTGGCACAGCAACAGTGCATAGAGAGCTTCATGGAATGGGTTTCCATGGCGGAGCAACTGCATCCAAGCCTTACATCACCAAGTGTAATGCAAAGCGTCGGATGCAGTGGTGTAAAGCACACCACCACTGCACTCTAGATAAGTGGAGACATGTTCTCTGGAGTGATAAATCACGCTTCTCTGTCTGGCAATCCGATGGATGTGTCTGGGTTTGGCGGTTTCCTGGAGAACGGTACTTGCCTGACTGCATTGTGCCAAATGTAAAGTTTGGTGGAGGGGGGATTATGGTGTGGGGTTGTTTTTCAGGGGTTGGGCTTGGCCCTTTAGATCCAGTGAAGGGAACTCTTAAGGCATCAGCATACCAAGACATTTTGGACAATTTCATGCTCCCAACTTTGTGGGAACAGTTTGGGGATGGCCCCTTCCTGTTCCAACATGACTGGGCACCAGTGCACAAAGAAAGGTCCAAAAAAAATGGATGAGCAAGTTTGTGGTGGAGGAACTTGACTGGCCTGCACAGAGTCCTGACCTGAACCCCATAGAACACCTTTGGAATTAATTAGAGTGGAGACTGCGGGCCAGGTCTTCTCGTCCAACATCAGTATCTGACCTCACAAATGCGCTTCTGGAAGAATGGTCAAACATTCCCATAGACACACTTCTAAACCTTGTGGACGCCTTCCCAGAAGAGTTGAAGCTGTCAGAGCTGCAAAGGGTGGGCCAACTCAATATTGAACCCCACGGACTAAGACTGGGATGCCATTAAAGTTCATGTGCGTGTAAAGGCAGGCGTCCCAATACTTTTGGTGATATAGTGTAAGTAATGAAATGTTATTAACTGGGTGAGAGGTGTAAGTCGCCAGGATCGCTTCTGTTGTAAAGCCGACAGTCGGCTCTACAAGTTTAAACAGACTCCCGGCGGCAAAAGTCGCCGGGAGTCTGTTTAAACAGCCCCGATGCTGGCGACGTACACTGTACGTCGTCAGTCACGAAGGGGTTAAAACATTTTTAATAAAATTATAATTAAAATCTCTTATATCTGAAAAGTGGTGGTGTATTGTTAAGTAGCCATTAAACTCCCATTAGAAAGTGTTTATTCATGCAGGGAGAAGGTTAGGGTTAGACTTATAATTAAAACATATTGAGAATATGATACTAAATCTGCAATTTCTGGGAAAGGACATGGCAAAATGAGTGCTGGGAGAGAGTAGGGAGTAAGAAGGTCTGTAATAGAACATGGCTATCAGCATTGGTGGGTGGATTAGAGTCTGATAGTCAAATATAGGTCAAATCTCAGTTCACTTTCTGGTTTCCTACTGTCTCTTCAGTCAGATTCATCTAAGAATACACAATATGCAGTGAAATACAGGGTTCCTGTTTAGGAGGTACCACAGCAGAATCTCTTTCTCAGAAACATTAGAAGGCATCAGAACACATTACACTCCATGCAAATGTATTTATTTATGTTTTTTTTAAACTTTTACAGGGCCACCAGACCGCTCTGCACCGGGCATCTGTGGTGGGACACAGTGACATTCTTGCAGTATTGATACAAGAAGGTTGTGCTTTGGACAGACAGGATAAGGTATTACAACTGGCAGAAAATAAATTTGAAATAAGCTGTTAAAAGTATTATTTTCCTAATTATTAAACAAATATTTAAGAAGTTAAAAATTAAAAAGTTCTTTAATCTATTAAAACAAACCATTCCATCCACAATGTTTTAATGCAGCAATTGTAACTAAAAGTGGGCATCTAACCGTGGCCCTGATGTTACCCCACCTCAACCTAACCACTGAAATATCACTTTCTCAAACAATTCATCTCTGCACAGCTACCTCCTCATGTATCACTTGCCCCTCCCTTTTAGATTGTAAGCCCTCACGGGCAGGGCCCTCCTTACCATCCTTTCTTGAATTGTAACTGTTGGCGCTATATAAATCCTGTATTATAATAATAATAATGTTACCAAGGTGACTGGCTGCTGCCTGTGTAGCTTCCAGTGCCAGAAGCTGTGTGTGGGAGAGTGCCTGCACATTATTAGTAATGGCAGAGAAAACTCAGCCTGTTCCCTGCTGTCTCTTACAGAGTGCTGAAGGCTTCACAGGCAGCAGCCAGACACTTTGGTGAGCCAGGAGGGTGGTAACCATGTGGGCTGTTCAGAAGTGTTAGAGGTTAAAGAAAAGGAAACCACAATAAACTGCTATCCAAGGGCAGAATCAGTAAGTACTAATTATGAACATATTATTGATGTAAATGGCCTGAAAAGTGTTTCTTAAAGACTGTCTCTTTAGACAGGCCTGACATTAGACTAGTAGCCTGACATTAGATGTAACAGAGCATTCTTGACATTTGCAGCTTTGGATTACCTAAACATTTCTGTAGGCCTTTACAAATACCTAAATATGTTGTTTTCTATCCATAGACTTACCTATGTTTTTGGATAACTGCAAAACCGATGATATGAACTAACTAGCATTCTGTTGGAAAAATGTATCCCCAAAATATAAACCAAGGAATTCCCTGCTTTTACCATTGCTATGACCACAATTAAAATGCTTTAAACTATCAGCTTCCCTATAGGCCTATCACACAGACAAAATGGCACATTCTTAATTTAGTTTACGTATACTACATAACTACTTAACTCAGCTTTAATACATTAGAGATTTCAGAGCAGGGAATAAAAGGGTAAACATTTAATGAGAAGGATAAAATATATA